AAAGTTGTGGAGTTGTAAAGTATTTTGTCTAGTGTCAATTATATCGTCAGTTATATCGTTATCTCAAATTTTCAAATGTATATCGCGATAAATATTTTTGGTCATATTGCCCTGCTCTAATCTCAGATACACAGCTCTGGCTGCAGCAAAAAAAATCCATCCACCTTCTGTTCAAGCAAGTTAGCTTAAAAGGAGGGCCCAAGAAAACTAACATGGCTTGTTTCAGTAGTGGATGAACTGGGGTACCACAAAAAGCCCAGATTAAAACTAGAGATTTATTTTTTCTCAGGTAAAATAGATAAACATATTAAGTCCCCTTTACTGTGCTTCTGCCCCATCTTACCCTCAGCAATAGCCCCAAGCACCAGGATGCCGGACTCCTTGATGACCCAATCAGGATGGAAAAGCAGGCCTTTGAGCAAGGGGAGGAGATGAGGCAGCAACTCCTCACGAAACACGTTGGCAAGAACATCCAGAGCGGCAGCAGAGCACTTCCCTGAAAAGAGGAAAATCCAGGATCAGTGTTGGATAACTATGATATAATAAAAGGTACCACAGCAGGGTTATAATGGTTATAATAAAGAGGATAAGTAGGTGTTTTTTTTGGTAAATGCTCCCCAGAGAAATCAATCCCTTTCTATTCATATCTCTCACATACCTGCGCATGCACACACTCTTGCAAACACACACGGGGCGCTTAACAAATTTGTTACACCGCCACCCAATGAAGGTTAGTAATTAAACAGTAACAATTAACAGTATTGGTAATTGCTAAAATCATTTTTATGTTTCTGTAATGATTAATTCACCGGTATGTGCACACTGTTTAATCAAAAACCGTTTACTAACCCTAAACCTTGTCCATGAATTCTCAAATGTACTGTTTTGAAGAAAAAAAAAGAGTGAAGCACTTTTTTAATAATAATAATAATAATACTACATAACAAAACAGTAAGACGTTTTTGACATCATGCAGTTTCCACACAGGTTCAAAAAACCTACAGGATCCCTTTTCAATCAAACATCCTTGTATTCTATTCTACTTTAACCTTAATTTTAAAAATAATGTTCAAAAGATCACCCAGTCCTACCTCTTTCCTTCTAATGCTTAGATTATTTTATGTCACAAAAGATTTCACAAGAACCTTTTCTTTATTAATAATTTAGCTCTACATTTAATGTTTTGTGCTGTTCTGCTCCATTTTAATTGTTTTGGTAAGGAAATCTAATCTAACTTTAATTCTAACTTTGCATGCGAAACTCACGTAGGTTCCAATCAGACAGCGTGTCATCATCATCGTCCTCATCTTCATCGATGTCCTCACCCTCCTCGCCCTCCCCTCCTTCATGCTGCAGAGTGACAGTGCGGGACTTGTGGAAGCGAGGCTTGATGTCCTGCTCGCTGTCTGGAATCGTCTCGTCCTCTTCAACATCACCCTGGAGGAGATCAGAGCTCAAGGTGAATGCAGAACACAGGTAAACAGCAACACAAGAAGAGATGCCAGATTTGTTCAGAGGATGCTAACCTTTAGTAGAATGATATCTATCTCAGAATACTTCATCCCATTCACCAGTATAGGTATCAGTCTGAAAAGGAAAAAAAAAAAGATAAGGAAACACATTACTACTCAGATGAAATTATCTCATCATTAACCCAGTCCTTGCTATGGGAGAAAGTGAGCACTTACTGGACCAAGTGGCCAGAAAGGGCCTCTTTACAGATGGGCTGTTCAGCCAGTGTCAGCCAGAACTCACAGGCCTCCAGGGCCACGTTCTCATCTGGGTCCTGCGTCCGCTGGAGCATATACTGGGAAAAAACCCAACAACAAGTGATTAAGAAGATGAGAAAGCGACAGCCAAACATAGTTTAAGGTCGAGATGAGTCAGGCCTTTACCTGGATGATGCTGTGCATGTGAGGGATGAGACGATCAATTCGGACTTCTAGGAGCATGACCAGAGCCCTGCACACATTCTTCCTCACTTCACTGTCCTCGTCCCCGGCCAGAGCAAACAGACTCTGGATAGAAAATAAACAAACAACAGAAAGAAAACAAATTAAAAACGGGAAGGAAAGGTAGGGTCAACAAAGGTGAAGGAACAAAAACAATGTATTATTCTAGAGGTTTTATGAGGCTTTACACCTTTACTATAAAACGTGTGCTGGTCTGTTTAATTATTGTGCTGGCAATCTACTCACATCCACAAACTAACTAGAGTCTAGGAACATTTTGGCCCGTCACTGACACAGCAGATATGTCGCTCAACAGGAATAAATATGCAACCTTTTCTTTTTTGTTTTACAGAACACAGGGCAAAAAAAAAAGCTTGGAATATTTTAGAAATTATGTCATCACATAGTTTGTCCAGCAGAGCAGCTCAGACTTCCTTGTTTACAAAACTGTCAGCACTGTCTGCAACACATGTGGCAGAGTATATCCCAGCTGAGCAGATGGTGGTGCGGTGCCAAATGGCGTTTTCACAGTAAGCTGTAAAAGTGCCGTGTTCATGCAGCTTCTGTTTGAAGTCAAAAAGAGGCTTTCACAAAAAAAAATAACAACAAAAAAAAAACAACAACAACAAAAATACCTTCATGGAGCAAAATTTTGCAATCCTCGTAAAAACGTAAGTAAAAGTAAAAAAAATGTTGAAATGCTCACCTCAATAAAGGTGTCGATGTTATCCATCAGAGCCTGAGCTCGGCCAATGATAAACTGGTTCACACAAGCTATAGCATGGGACCTTGGCAAAAAAGAAAAAGAAGAAACAAGAGATAATTTTAACAAGGAGATTTTAGATGAGGAGGAAAGCAAAACTGCTAATTCTGCAAGATTCAGACACTGAGACTTGGATTTCACTGACCTGATCTTGGGGCTGCAATGTTTGAAAAACTGGAGGAATTTGGGGATCATGATGTTAAGAGGTCTGTTCAAAGCATCGCTATCCAACAACTCTGATGAATCCTCACAGATCTTTTGCAGTGCTCCAAAAGAACCCTGCCAAAAAAACAAACAAATCAGAAACAAATTACAAAAGAAACAGACACAAACCTTATCACCAAAATAGTACCAAATTATCATTGCAAGGCTGTGCATGTGTTTAAGGTATGTAACCCTAACCTCGCAGGTGTTATAGTCCTCCGAGTTGAGCAAGTTACAGAGCTGAGGCAGCAGCTCTGGCCAGGTCTGCAGCTCTCCTTTGGAGGCGATGGTCGTGATCAGAATGCCTTTATAATAAAGAGTTAAAAAGTTACACACTAGTACATTAGGCTTTAAAACCCAGCCTGATAACTCACCCTCTGTCATTTAAAGATCTTGAAAATACAACGCTTGCTCCCACACAACCATATTACCTGGAAAAATTCACCCACCTCCATAATAATCTGACTCACACTGCTGAAAAACTCCATCTAACTAAACCTTTTATTTCTCAAGCTTCCCTCTCTGACTGAAACACCCACCGATTGTAGCTCTGATAAGCGGTGAAGGGTCTCCGATGTTGTTGAGGCATTCTCGTTTGATGAAGTCTGCCACATTGGGAGGGAAGTTCTGGTAGTGAGCTTTCACATTGTTCTTCAGAATCAGACCGCTCAGAGAGCGAGTGGGCTCATCTTGAGAAGGAAGACAGCAGAGAGGCAACATGAAAACCCAAAAGGAGGTGGTGAGATACAGAGAGGTAAGCAAAGATGAAACAATCTAGTACGCGGGGTTTTTTTGGGTTGTTTTTTTAATTATAAATTTGATGTGCACAAACTCACCTTCAGATTTTAGGCTTGTGAGAACAAAGATGAGATAGTTGTTGAAATCTGGAAACTGGTTAAGCTGTTCCAGTTTCTGCAGAGTCTGTTAAGGAGTTGAATCATCTATAAATACAGAGCAAGAATTCACACATCCTCACAGACCTTCATTTCACAGACACTTGATGCAAGCTGAACAAACAGTATCTTCTCATTGTCCTCCAAACTGACACACCAGCTCTCATGGGGGAGGCAACATTTCACACCTTCTCCTCTCACCCCAACTGTCAAACACACACACATACAGAGCCAGATGTAAGGATACTTCTTGCACAGCTCTCTGTGTTGCTGTGTCTGGGGACTGGGAATCCTTGAGTAACTGAAGCACTTGCTGCAGACCTTGTTCATCCGGCTGCCACTCCATCCTACAACAGAACACACACACGTTACCCGTTTAGGGGCTCACTGCAGCACCTGTAATATTACAAATCAAAACGCCATGTAATGACTACAGAACAAATGGATTATGCTGACTTATTAAAAGCATCAAATTCTAAAATAGCCTCAAAACCGTTTCTTTGAATCGTAATTTGAGACAAAATGCTGGACTCAGTGTAAATATGTATAGCGTAGCAAAACAGTGCTGCGGAAGCAGTGGCGTTTATGAACATTTGACATTTCTGGCGAACACCACCAACAACCAGTGGTCATTTAAGGCTTCACGAAAAAGTAGCCAAACATCAACAACTATCAACCGTGACCCTAAGAACCTTTTCTACGTGAGGCCCAGACGGTAAAGGCGCAAATGTCTCGCTCCATCAGCTAGCAAGCTAGCCTGGCGTCGCAGTAACAGGTAAACGATTCACTGATTGCCGAAACGCTTTCTCACATCAACTACCCGGCTGCCACAGTTATGTTTTAATCCAAGCCACAAAAGCCGCAAAAGGGGTTCAATTAATATGCATAACAAGGCAGCCGCACACAAACCCCCCCTTTCCCCCGGCAGCTATCAGTAGCACCGCTAGCTAACAGCATCCTGAAAGTACCGCGAAAGGTTTTACCTGGTTTCTCCGATGTGGTAGATCTATATTCCTACAGACAACCGCGCAGATACAATGTACCAACTAACATTAAATAATATATATATCCGCGGTCTGTGTAGGTAAATACAAACTTCTAATCGCAGTAGATCTACGTGGTTGCTATGCTAGTTGGTATGTGACAGAGATTGCATGCCTTGCAATCAAGCCGGGTGATCTGTATGATCACGTTCGGCTTCCGTATTCGAGCGAGGTGAAAGAGACGTAAACAACTGTAAGTATTACCGTTATTTCCGTCTGTGTTCAGCATTTATGAGCATTTACCGCTTAATTAATAATGCATGTATGATTATAAAATTATGATAACATTTTATTCCGTGAACGGAGCAGATTATACAATATACCTACGTCGGTTTGTGCGGTTTCATTTTACTCCACTAGATGGAGCCATATTCAACGCCTCGAGCCTGTTAGCTATGTGTATGAAGTGAGACAGGGCGTTGACAGAAAAACACTGTCACCAGAGATGATGGCCCAGCAACAATCACAATCATGAGCGTCTCCGTGATTTTTGTCACCGGTATGGCACAGAGGAAATATGAGCAAGGTAAATACAGTGTTAAAACTGGCACTGAAAACACTGTGTATACATTCAAGGGCTCCTGAGCCTTCAGACATATGTATTGTTTGAAGAGTGGCACTACAATCAAATTAAGTACTTTGTAAAGTGCTTAGACAAGTATTTAGACAATTTTACTTAATTAAAAGTTATAATTCCATAAGTAATGGTACTAAAGTTTTCAAAACATGTCTAAAATATATAACGTGTCCACTATTGCATTATTATATGATATGTGTGATATTATTGGATGATAAATATTAATTAATCAATATGTACACTTTCATGCTTCACATATTACCACTTAATTAAATGACTAATTTTAGCTTTATCTATAGTAATACACGGTAGTAAGATGGAACAGTGGTTAGCACTGTTGCCACACAGGTCCTAGGTTCAAAACACCCCCCCACCCCCTTCCCAAGAGAAAAAAAACCTTCTAGCATCATAAGCCTAATATGCTGCAGGGCTGTCACATTGTAAGCCCTTGCAGAATCAGAGTAAGCAACTACATTTTAAGGAAGTAAAATGACTTCGGTATAGTTCAGTTAATCGCAGGCCACTCCATGTACTCGTAGTCATCACCACTTCCTTAATTTTGAAATACTTACCAAAACTGTGAAACAGTCCTTTGGAAAATGGGAAGTGCTCTAACAGCATGAAGTATCTTTAATATAACTTTCTTCTTTTTAACGAAGCAAAACATTTCATAATCAACTAAGCAAAGCTTTATTAAACAACCACATCAACCAGAGCAAACAAATATCAAGAAGACATTCACATTATGGACAGGTAGTTGAACGAAAGTGGACATTTCACTTTCGTTCAAGCCGTTCATTGTGTATGGGAGTAAAGTTCTTCATTTTGAACAGAACAGGGTGTATATTTAGAAAAATTGAAGTTCAGCAGAGAGAGCTGATTTCACTCTTGCTGCAGCCCCACTTGCAGCAAGCATTGGACAGTCCAACCACTACGTCCCGTCCTTTCCTGTCTGCGCTCCGTAGAGCCTCCAGGACCTCTTCTGTTATCGGTGAGCGAGCTGAGCGGCTGAGTCCTGCTGCTACAGATGCCACATCTAATGCTGGATTTTTCCATGGTTCGGACTCTGCAGGATCTTGCTCGCTCATAAATTGAGGGATGGGATTTGCCTTCCATGGATCATAGGTCTCTTCTCCAATAAATGCTGACAAAAAGAATAAAAAGTAAATCTGTCAATATTGCAGTTTAATTCTTTGAAAACAAAGCACATCATAGAAAATCAGCACGCAAAATCACACCGTCTTACCCGAGTCTTCTGCGCTTCTCCTCCAGCGAGAACCACCACAGGTAAAGATGACAGCTCGTATAAACTCTCTTCCACACAGTTTCACCCCATAAAAAGAGGGATGACCGTCATTGGGGCGCACCCTGTCTACCAGAGCCACCAACAAGCCCAGGGTCAAGAGCGCTGCCTTCCACATGATGCTGAACAAATACTGAAGGTATCTCGAAGGTATGTTTAAGTGTCTCTGTGGTTTGTGTTTCTTTTTGGATGTTCTTTCCACCTTTTATAGGGCCTAGCATCAGCGAGGAGGACCTGAACTCACCTCCAGTCTTCGTCATACCTCGAGATAAGGCTGGAGACCTTTACGGGCAACAATGCACTCAGAGGAAAAGAAAAGTTGTGATTAAAATGCTGAACGATACCTGATGTCAACAGTGCCACTGGGAATCTCATCACCTGTGACCTTTAAGTGGCCTTTCTGTCCCTCACATCATTTTGATTGGGCTGTCTGACACCAGCACAGTATCACCATTAACTCTGCCTACCATGGGACTAAGATCACTATCTTTGCACCCCAAGGAAGGGTTCTGTTCACTGCTGACACACACACACACTACACTAAAGAGACATTTCAGTGGACCCCACAGTGACTAATCAGTTGTGAACGTCCTATTATCATCATCCAATACTAATTATTTATAAGAGAGACACACCGGGGACAGAGATAACCACTGTGAATAAGAATGAATTTACATCCCATCATTTCCAATCTGTGTGACATTTTGGGCAATCAAAAAAAGTAACATTACAAGCGTTCATTTGACGTTAGAATCTAGCGAAAGTAATAGACAGGCGTAACCAGCCAATCAACGGTCGAGTTTAACAACCGATGCTTCGACCACCTCCTTACAGAGCCAATCAACATTTAGCAGAGGGAGGGGTAACGACAAGAGGGTAGCAACAGTTGCCCCGGTGAAGGCTCGGCGCCATAGTCACGGTAGTCCTGGCGACAAGAACTAAGCAACGGGAGTCAACAACAACAACCTAAATCTAAGAGGAAAAAACTTTAACGCCTAAAAAGGACAAAACCGGAACAAACAGGTGAAAAGTAAACTATCTCTGAATTCCCATTTAATTTTAGGTGAACTGTGTGTGTGTTTGTGCAGTCGCGAACACTCGCGCAAAATCGCTCGAGCGTTTCGGTGATGAAAGTGGTTGCTAGCTTCTTTCCAAACGTAGACCGTTGTTATGGCGATGTCAGATCTTTGATAAGAGCACAAGATGGCGGGTGTGTTGTGGGGCCCGTCGTACTTTTTTTCTGCTATTTTGTCATAATGTTCAGGTTGTTAGTCACAGTTTCGATTACCCAGAAACTCACGAGGCGAGATTTGTAACGTGGTCGTAGATTTATTCGCTATCGACGTGACTAGCTAGCAGTTGGCTAGCTTGTGTTAACGTCATAACTCAACGTGAGCGAGCTCCTAGCTGGAGAGGGGGGAGCTATCACTTTCTCAACTCACATTTCAAACAAAAGCTGACTAAAGAGATTAAATACTGAAACGCACACCAAACTACACACGCACCAATGGGGTTTTAATGAGTTTTAAACGCACACAAGATGATTGCAGTATGTTTCATAATCATGTAGTGACTTTGAAAAAGTTTCTTGCGCTGACATTGAATCCAGTGGAAGTGACTGTCGTGAGGACGGTGTGCCTCATGCTTGTGTTGTGTGGCATGTTGGTTCACGCAGGAGTGGCTTCTCGCGCAGTAGGATGGCCTCTAGTAATTTTTTCTTCAGGTTATGCAATCACGGGACTATCCACAATCCGTAAATTTAATTGCTTTTTTGCTCAGCTGTTTTGATTGTTTTATTTGAGATGGAATGTCATGGCCATGGTCAGTCAGAAACATTTTGAAAATTTGATTAATTGCGTTATCTGTTATGCTGTAAGATCATACTGGTTCTTTCCGTTTTGACAAAACAGGAAAGGCTTTAGACTACTGCTTAGTCTCAGACAAAAGCCCTACTTCCTCATAAGGTTTATGTTACAGGCACACAAGGACACACACACACACAAGCACTCACTCACTCTGAGTGGTCAAAGCACGGTGAGATAATAGGACAACAAAGTGTATTTCTGTGTATGTCCATAGCACTTTCATTAATGAATGTAATTTTTTTCTGTATCCATAAAACCAGTGCCTCAAAGCATTGGTTGCCATGGCAACTTCTGGATACTCCGAAGACCTTCAGCCTCAGCAGGCCAACACAGTAACCATAGCAACACCTGCTTCCACCACACCCTCATCCGCAAAGACTGCACACTTCCTGTCCGAGATCCCACCAGCCTCTGGAACCGTTTCGTCAGCTAACCAGTCAACTGCTGCTTCTAAAACTGGACAGGATGCACTTTGTTCTCAGGCTCCGCCCACCCAAGCCCAGAGCCAGAAGGCAGTGGTTCTGACTACTCCCACACAGCACTACGTGAACCCTAATCTTCAGCCTTCTCCAGTCCAGGAGAGTAATGGTCAAAGCAGCTCACCTCAGTACATCATAGTAACAATTCCAGGTGAGAGACTACCTTAGGAGTGACTGATACACACATACACACACACACACACACACCAGGATTCAACATTATCAATGAACTCGTAGCCCAGGCATGTTGACTGGTCAGCTGCCAATGTTTGGAAAACTGGCTGGAATGAACCTTCACTAATGAGTATTTTTTTCTCACAGTCAGTATCTTTATGTTAAAATGCCAACAAAAGTCTTGTTTAAAATGAAGATAAAATTGTTTAAATGCAAAGGAAAGTGATCTGTTGCTTTACTTCCATCCACCGGCAGTTAGTTTTACACAGTCAAACCACTGTTGAATTAAGAAGTGAAGAAATGAAATGAAAATGAAAACTGTCTGTGTGCAGACACTGTTTACTATATAGTTGTGAAATGTATAAATTTCACAGATTTCTTGTAAACTTTGTTGAAGGCTGACAGCAGTGTTCCATCCCTCTCTGGCAATGATTAGCGCAGCATGCAGGGTTGAGTGTTATTTAGATTAAACTAGTAGAATTTTTTTTTTGCCACGTGTCTGTTGGATAAAGTCTCTAGACAGCTGTGTTACATAGTTTGTGTACCAGAAACTGGATTAATATGCTTATGTGGAAGCAAATGGGTGATAAATTTCTTGCAGCAGCCCCTCCTGTACCTACTGGCATCTCTACTTCAGACTCTGGGTGCAGCTGTTTTTTTGTTTTGTAGAAATGTGTGGAACCAATTCTAGATTGAGCACAAGGCTGTATGATCAGAGGAGAGGTATTTATCCCATAAATCTGTCCCTAATGTTTCAGATGAATACTGGCTTGGATTCAAGCTTTTTGATTTTGACAAGACAATTAGACCCTCAAAACACATTTTATTAACAGAAAAAACCTGCTCCCTGAAAAAACACTGAGAATCACTAGATTTTGTATCACACACTTAATGTTTTTTTACAACTACAGTGACTCCTTGCTTGTTTTTAAATGCGCTCTCCCAGATGCTGTTTGTGGGAGAAGACTCATCACTTTGTCACTCTGTGAATGAACTGTGTTGTTGTACTTGAAAGATAGAGGGAATTTCCTCCACAGAAATGAATAGCTGGGTGAGGCATGTAAAACACAAGGCCTTGTTCACCTTTTTTTTGCATTTCAAATCAATGTTTTAAGCTCATTACATTCGCAAACCTCATGCTCGTGATCTGGTATTTATGCAGTGCTTTCCTAGTCCCACTGTCTCCTCAAAGACTCGTTACACTTTAAGCCAGATTGAGTCATTCACACGCATTCATACACCACTATATTCTATGCACTTTGAGCTCTTTACCTAACACACACTCACAGACTACTAATGGATGCATCTTTGGGATTTTACTATCTTGGCCAAGGACACTTTGATATGTGAAGTTGAGGAGCCGGGGATCAAACCACTAACCTCCCGGGCTAGAACCGCCCAGATATGTGGCAAACTTTGGCTTGCTCGTGGGTATTTGAATAACAGAACTTCTATGAAGGGATGTCAGTGCATGTGTGTTGTACAAACACTAAAAACATAATGCTTGGATATCCAAGCATTATGTTTTTACACAGAAAATGAGATTTCAATCTCAATTAGAATACCTAGAGCATAATATCAGAAGTAATAATAATTATTCTAATAATAATAATAATAAATAATAATAATAATAATTTTGCATTGATGTTTCCTGATCACCCATCAGTCTTATTACAGAGGATTTCTGTCATCTCTTGCCATCTCTTTAAGAAAGAAGAAGTCAAACGGATATCTAATACCTTTTTTACAAGCAGCAGCACTGGTGCCTACTGTAGAACCGATTCCACACATTTCCCCTGTGGGGAAAAAAAATAAAATAAAAAGGTGTTAGTGCCAAAAAGCTAGTACTGGCAAGACATTACATAATTCCTGTTCCCAAAAGTTGAATCCACTGGCTATTGGAGGGACTACCATAAGAACTTTACTGATGATTCACAGATGCAGTCTACAGATTGTGTCGGCAATGGAAGCTTTCGCCAGTGACACTAAGTAACATTCAGTCTTCAAAAATGTCCAAATGTGGGATGGTTCTCAAAAAGGCACCAAGGTAAACCTATCTCAGCCCAGGCAGTCTGTTGGTGGAAAGTCCCACCAAAAAGAAAAAAAACCCCACTGATGTAGAATGAACCTGTGCGGTGTGATGGTGATGCGTTATGATAACAATCTATATGCACTGGATTGTTTGCCTTAATAGTCGGAAACTAGGGACTATGGGTAGCCAATGAATGAAACTTCACTGAACCTCTTTTCTGCTGCTTTTACTGTTATACATAGATCTTCGTATGGGGATTTTAAGAATATTTATTTTACATCAACATACCTTTAAATTTCTGCCTAGCAGTTGTTGAATTTCTTTTGGAGAAAAGAAAAAAAAACAAAACCAGAAATTTCTGGGTTGGGATGCCACAAAAGTTGTAAACCTTAGTAGCAAATGTACAAAATTAGACATTAGAAATGAAGGTAGCTGACGTAAGATGGATTTATAACACTTTTGAACTTTGCACTTTTCCTAGATAAGAAGTACTATTAGCCATGGCTTATTTTAAAATGTATTCTACTAAATAAATACAAAAGCTTAGTCAAAAAACCCCCCAACTAATCAGTATTTTAAAAAATTATGCTAACTAGAGGAAATGAAAAGAGACCCCAGTGTCAGTGCCTATCTGTATGTGTATTTTAGGGCCTTCTATTTGTAGATCTTTTTTCCTGCCAGTATCAAGTGACGCTGTGCCCTCTCACCCAGAGTGAGAGCCTCACAGGCCTGTTGCCTGGGGCTTGTCTCTGCCTTATAAAGTAGGAATACAAAGTACACAATGTAACAGTATCTAGAACATGGACTACAGTAAAAAGAACAGACTTTGTGCATGTTTGTTTTCTGTATTTCAATTTTTTAATAGCTTGTTGGAAATATAGTTTAAGATTTCTATAACGTGAATAATATTATGCAGTTAGGGGCATAAGTATCTAGTGACTGACACATTTTTTGTAATTTAACTAAAAAACAAAACAAAACAAAAATCGTATTAACTCTTTGAGAATTATAGCCATTTTTTCACACAGCCCCACATCTTCAGAGGCTTAAAAGTAATTGGTGAAACTAAGACAGTTTTAAAAATAAGGACTGTTTTCTAATACTTGGATGAGATCCTATCCTGCCAATGGCTGCCTGAAGTCTGGAACTGCAGCTGCCTTCAGCTGTTTGCGGATCTCCCTGCATTCATTATTTAATAACAGAAAGGTTGCTCTGTTTGGGTCGAGGTCAGGTGACTTGATCATTGAAGAATAACCCATTTCTTTGCCTTGAGAAATTCATACTGCTTTTGCAGTATGCTTTGGGTCATAAATCCACAGCACTATGGTCGTTTGCACTGCGAAACCCCGTCTGATTCGTTTTGCAACATTTGGCTGAATCTTAGCAGAGACTATAGCCCCGTATGCATCGTTATTTATCCTGATACTTTTCTCAGCAGTCACGTCATCACTAAACACTAATGACTGGGTTCCACTGTTTGATATAGATCCCCATTCCATAAATGGCCTGTATTTGTAACATTACCTTCACCATATTTAACATATAATGTCGTAAGCTGCCGAACATGAGCTATTTCTCCATTCCTCCAGACTTCTTTCTTCACATCATTCTGGCACACATTAATCTTGGTCTCATCTGTCCAAAGAACTGTGTAGGCGCTTGCTTTCTGTCAAAGTTTAATGTGGACGTCTTGTTCTTGAATGTATTTTGTGGTGTGCACTTTGTTGTAAGCTCTCTTAAATGTAGATGTTTACTCTTTGAGAGTGCTCTTGAGTTAGATATTTTGAAGCTGGAACCAAGGAATGAATTCTGTGATCATCCACTGTAGTGGTCTTTCAGGTCTTTTGTTGCTGCTGACCTGGCAAAAGCAGCCCTCCTTTCTAAGAAAGCACCAGATTGTTAATTTGATGACTCCTAAAGTTTTTGCTGTCTCTCAGATAGGTTTATTGTGGTTTTTCAGGTTAAGGACGGCTTCCCATGCTTAGATTGACAAGTAGACCTCATGTTGAATGTTCCAGTAAACAGTTGCCTAAGCAGTTTCAGCACAGTTAATGAATTTGTCATGCAATAACAAGGAACTGTCTTCACCTTTCCATTAAATTGCTTCCAAGTTGTCCAATTACTTTTCTTTTTTAGGTGTTGAAAATGATTGACTGTCTATACAGTCATGGCTGTAATTCCTAAACAGTTAATACAGTACTTTTTTTAAAAAAAAATCAACTGAAAATCTGCACCTCAGTCATAGCTTGATTTTTTGATTTCATATCCATTGGGGTGGTGTACAGAGGCAAATTTACAAAACTTTTGGCATTGCCCAAATAATTATGAGTCATAATATACGACTAGATGTTGTTTTGCACTGTAAGGTTTAGATGGCGTCTGGTCTAGAACATAACATTTACATTTTCATTATTCAATACTTACCAATATAGCTGTAAAATGAGAAAAAAAATATTTATGGTCCTTGTAACCTTCAGGTTGTATAGGCTTGGATTATTGGTAGGTGATTGAAAAAATAAAAGCAAAGTTCTCTAACAAATAACTGACTTATCAACTGTACTAATTATACCAATTGATGAAAAGACTAGAATTCTAAAGTGGTGTATTTGGGCTGGGGTTACAAACAAGCCCTAAACCAGGTTAAACAATGCAAGCCATCCTTTTTACACAGGATTGACAAATCTTGTATAAATGTATCCACCAAACCACAGACAGACTGGATTTATACTGTTGCACCAAACACAGGTGACTAGTTAGCTGTCAGACTGATGTTGTTGCCTGAATAAAAAACTTTTTCTTGTAAAATGGGAGGTGAAATTGTGATCAGAGCTTTCATTTACAAGCACCTAGGCCAGAGCGTTTAGCTATAATAATGTAAAATTCAACTGAGTGGTACACTGTGCATTAGTCAGCTATGACTTGACCAAAGTGTAGTTACTGGTATTGCTATTTCCACAGTGTTCAACCTTGGTTGGAATAAGAGCATCACAGCAGGAGTAACAGTACAGGTGGTTAAAGTAAAATGTTTTCTCACCTGAAAAATAAAAACAAGTGAATATTGCCTTCTCCTCCACCCAACCTCCGTTCTCTATTTTCTCCCGCTGTTGTCAACCCACGCGTATCTCTCTTTTTTCCCCTCTCATCTGATCTCCATGTTTACAAGATGGAGGGATTTCTCTCTCCATCTGGGGAGATTAGCTGTCCAAGGCTGTCCCTTCTGCATACAAGATATAAGGATGAAATGAGAATTGGACAGACACACTTCTCCTCCTCCTCACTGTCCATCTTTCCTCAGTAGAGCAAAAAAAAAGAAACTTGATTGCGAGATGTTCTGTGGTGGCTGTTATTACGATTTGGAACCAGTCTGTCGTGAGTGCTTCGCTTGAAGCGATGGTGGATGGGTTTTCAGTTAAATTTGCCTGATCGTCAAATGAAACCTTTCTCCTTTACCTTTTGTGTTTCATCCACAGATGACTCTGTGCCCTCCAGTGACAGTTTGTCAGACTCCAGCCCGCCCGCCCCTGGTGTACCTACTCAGGTGGTCCAATCAGTGCAGACCACCCCACAGGTAAGATGCACACATATATTCATTATGACGGGAATCCCCCTGTATGCTGGAGAAAATGTGGACACCAACGAGCACACCACGCTCACATACTGTGGGACTGCCCTTTGATCAGGACTTACTGGAA